ATTTGTTGTACTGACACTTTGAGTATGTTTTGACTGTGTTCTTAAGTAAGGTTTTGGATGCAGACCTTTTACTTGTCCTGTACTTTTACACTGTGGTACTGCGACTTTAGAATATTGGAGAACTTGTTCCACCACTGACAAAAAGCGATAGTATCTCAAGAAGCCACTTAGTATTCAGATCCTTTACTTTAGTGAAAGTACTGATACCATATTGTGGAAAAACTCAGTTACAAGTAAAAGTCCTGCATTCAAAACCTTACAGTAGTAAAAGTATGTAGCCTCGTCTTTACTTTAACTATCAAAGTAAAATTTTCCCTGGTAGTGTTTTACTATTATATGTGATGTTTTTGGATAAATATCACTGCTGCATTAATGCGTATGTTGCATTTTACTGTTGTAGATATTTAATCCATTCAGAACACAATTATGTACCAAAGACTAAAAAATAAAAAATAATATAAATAAATAAAATGCTGTAAAAGCACTCACAAATCATTAGCAATGTTTTTAAATAAAGTACTTTATTTATTTATTTTTATTTGAATGTAGAGACCACCTAATGGTAAACACGACTCATTTTCATAATCACGGAATAAAGTGATGTTTTAACACATTGCATTTATTTTTTGTATTGTATTTATCAGCCCTTCAAAATACCCTCAATTTCTGAATTATTTCCAGAAAACAGTATGTTGAAAACGTCCTGAGGTCAGTATCCTGTGACCATGATCAGTGGGATGCATTGAAAGATGATTATTTCATTAGAAAATCAAACCAGAACAGTATTTCCCTATTCTGTTTATGTATGGATTTTTTTTTTTTAAATTCTGAGTAAAAACTATCAGTCTTACATGCGATATTTTTACCTGTTTATGTAATATGACATCTCATGTTTAATTTAAAAGCTGTTTAAAAACCAACCTTAACAATATCATCAATAGATTAAAATGTGCCTTGTGCTTCCTGCTTGCCTCACAGCTGTCCATGTTTGTTATAAAATGAATGTGGCTCTACTGCAGTCCACTTTAGATAATGTAGAACACTGTGAATTGTCTTATAGACATCCCATTAAATAAGTCCATGCATCTGGGTGGAGTTGGATGACAGTAATCATAGATCAGAACATCCTAGAAAAGTTATGTCAATTGGAATGGACTGAGGATCTGAATATGTTAACCGATGACTTTGACATTGTGACCGGTGTAAGACAGGGTTGCATCCTGTCACCCTTGCTCTTCCTTAAGCCTGATTTATGGTCCTGCGTTAAATCAACGACGTACCTCGTAGGGTACGTGGCTACGCAGGAGGCTCGCCGTAGCCTGACGTGCACCTCCCAAAAAATGTAACTACACGTCGAGGCGACGCAGACCCAGCGCAGACCGCTGTGATTGGTTTGCTTGGTAGCAATGCATTTCCGGTTCCATATTTCCAGATTGCGCCATCCCCGCCATCTTTAAACATCTTCTGTTGCGATGTAGATGTTGCAATATTAACATACTTTCTTCGACATCCAACAACTCCAGCTCCAGCAAGATTGTCTCTCTCTCGGTCGCCATTGTTCACTGTGACCAGAAAAGCCGGAAGCTAAACAAAGAATCAACTAGAGACGACGATAACCATTCAGGAAAGGAACGCAGCCCCCTACCGCTCTGATGGTGAATTGCACCGTGACGAAATGGAGTGACGGAGAAGTTCGAAGGGTTCACGATGGTGTCACGGCAACGACGTAGGTACGTCGTAGGTACGCCGCAGGACCATAAATCAGGCTTTATTGTTGTTGATTTTGTGATGAGAAGGACCCTCGCCGGGACGAACTTCGGCATCAGGGCAGACTGCATGACCTGGACTTTGCAGACAACCTGGCTCTGATTAGTCATACCCACATTGCACTCCAGGAGATGACCAGCAATCTCCAAGAGCACGGAACAAAGGTTGGTCTACAGATCAGCCACAAGAAGACCAAGGCCATGATCGTTGGACGGGATCAACACCACCCACCACTCACTCTAGGCGAGTATGACATTGAGTATGTCGAGAACTTCACATATCTTGGCAGTAACATCTCGAGTACAGGAGATGTGGAGGAAGACGTACGAATGAGAATCAGCAAAGCTGCAGGAGTGTTTCAACGGCTCCGCAACGTGTGGTCGTCCAAAGCTATCACTACGGCCATCAAGCTACGCCTGTATATGTCAGTGGTCATTCCAACAGCGACCTACGCCTGCGAGAGGTGGATGAGGACTGCCAGCATTACCAACATGTTGGATGTCTTCCACCAACGATGCCTCAGAACCATCTTGAGGATCTCATGGCGAGACCACATCAACAATGATGAGGCGATGAGAAGGGCAGGGGTGGCGCTACTGTCTGACATGGTCTCTGACAGGAGAAGAAGAATGGCTGGACACGTATTCCAACTGCCAAGACAGAGACCAGCGATGTGGCAATAGACTGGGTGCCTAAGGGCGGCAAGAGGAAGAGAGGGAGGCCAAAGAAGACGTGGAGACAGACGTTTAAGGAAGACCTAAGCGAGATGGGTGTCAGCTGGCATGGTGCAAGGACGGTCGCCAGGGACCAGAGCAAATGGAAGGGTCTCGTCACCCAATGTTCCAATAGGAACAGGAGGAACTAAGTCTAAGTAAGTGGCTCTACTGCAGTCCACTTTAGATGATGTAGAACACTGTGTATTGTCTTATAGACAAGTCATTAAATAAGTCCATGCATCTGGGTGGAGTTGGATTACAGTAATCATAAATCAGAACACCCTAGAAAAGTAAATGTCGATTGGAATGGACTGAGGATCGGCATGGGTTAAGGTTGTGCTAAATTTAACTCCCTTATATGCTGTTGGGTAATTTAATCTACAGCAATGCATCATGTTCTATAAGATCATCATATGTTTGTAGCGTGGCTGTCCTGTGAGGAGCGTGTATCGCTAAAAAGTCAACTTTTCATGCTGTGTGACGATTCATTTTCCACCTGATCCAGGAAGGTTTTATATCGTGATTTTTTTTGTCATAAGAAGAAGGAGCATTTTGTCAACACATTAAGGGAATAGCCTGGCACAATATTTTCCTCTGACATGTCGTGGAGCAGAAGTACAAAGTTGTATAAAATGGAAATACTCAAGTAAAGTACAAATAGCCTGCCTTAAGGTTGTGTGCTACTGCAGTACAGTAGCTGGGGCTACTTGAGTAAATGTACTTTGTTACAGTCACTGTTAAACACACTCTGAGTCCAACTCTTATTATATAATCAACCACACAGACTATAAATGGGTCCTTAATGTTGAGCCACACGCTGGATGTCACTGAACACAACACAACACAACACACACACACACACACACACACACACACACACACACACAAACAACTGAAACTGACTCAACTCATACACACATTTAAACTCCCAGTCTGTTATGATGCAGTTATGAATCTTCAGGGGAAAAATGTTAAAATTCAGTGGAAACCTGGACCCAGAGCGTGAACACACACGTGCAGCTCCGGTGTGGACACGTGTGTACCGTGTACGAACAGTGAAGAGGGGGTTAAGGTGCTTTTTTCCCCAACTTCTTTTGCAGATTTTAGATAACAGAGAGACATAAAACAGACCAGTAAGAGGCGAGAAACAGTCAAGTCATTATCACATTGTTCTAAAGACTGCTAGTTGAACTAAACTGCTTGTGTTTTGGGCAGATATTTAAAAGGTAACGGAGGTTTGTGGACGCGTTCAGAGGGCGAGACCAACGTCATCTTGGGACTCCGAGCTGCGTTCATTGAAATCGGAAAATCTAGTTTGTCTTAGAAATACATTACATGAACAAAAAAGTAGACTGAAAAATAGATACAAATACATAAATAATATAACATTAAATGAATTTAAGTTGAATTAACTGTCAAAGGTGCTGTCCTTAAACTAAACAAGTTGTGCACAACCTTCATAATTGTATGTGAATACACAAAGTACTTGGTATTTGTATTTCCATACATACGACTTTATACTCCACTGCATATATTTGATAGTTTACTAGTAAGTAAATAAAACACATGACATACAGTGTTGTTATGAAGTTAAACAACTGTTAAATAAATTAAAGTAGCTCCACCTTAACCAGCTCCAACATTAAAATGCTGCATAAAGATAACCCAGTGATATACTATTCTGAAATTGACCATTCTGATTAACTTAACATTTAATACTAAAAGTATTTTGTTGTAAAAACTATGGTTTTGAATTCAGGACTTTTACTTCACATAGCCTAAGTAAAAGATCTGAATACTTCTTCAACCACTGGTGACTGGTGTAAAATCTTGTGCAACAAACTTGTGTTAAAATACTTTAAAATAGGCCTTTTTTGTTTTGGATTAGTTTTTCCTTATCCACTGTGAGGGTTCTTGTGATAGTCTTCTGATCATGTGCTACAGTGATAGGCTAATGTAGACCTTTGTGTGTCTCACTGGCCACAGAAATGCATCAGCCCCTCAAAGACAAAGACTGCTGTAATCCCATCAAATCAAGTCGCTGTGATGTGATATGAAGGTCATGGACGGTTGTAGCCTATTTCTTTTTTCTTTTTCTGTGTTTATGTGAATTATATGTGGTAGCTAATGTTTTGAATTTCCATTCAATCATTAAAATGTTTGGGGTATTGCATTTTAAACAATTTTTGTCTCTAAGTATTGCTGCAGAATGTGTGACAACATGATGCACAAAAATAAAATATGTACAGTGAGCATTTTCTCAATTACTTCTCCAAAACTGTTGTCTAAATGACACTGGATTAAACAGTAGTAAATCCATGGTATATTTCGTTACAATAAGCACTTGAATGCGCCCGACTACAGTGGCACTTTGTGACTTCCGACACTGGGAATTAAGAGGTTTTACAATGAGGAAGCACTTGAAAGCATCATCTCACCCTGACCCAAAGCGCGCCCCCGGCTTTACGTGGCTACTCCCCCTGTTCGCCGTACGTGCGCGCACCCCCCTATCGCGTGGTGGGGATCATCCATATTGCTGCTAGTGGTGGAGATAAGGTTGTAATCCTGCGAGGCCCTCGGACACGTTTCTTTATTTTTATACATGTTTTAATTCGGTGCTGACTACTCTGCGTCTTAGACTGAAGCTCTTTTGGTCTAGGAGCGACAGAGGAGCGGCAGACTCCGCGGAACAACTTCACATTTCCTTTAAATTGACGGCGAATTCGGGCCGGGGGGAGGACTGGTAATCCTGAGGGGGGAAGAAAGACGGTGGTGGGAAATGGCCACTCAGGTGGAGACTCTCCTGCCCGGCAACCCGCTTGCAAAAGCGGAGGAGCACGGTAAAGTGATCCGCGGTGAGCCGGAGGTAGAGGAGGGCGGCCGGGGCGACGGGGCCAAGCGGCAGGCGGGTGTCGCCGAGCAGGGGAGCAGCAGCGGCAGCAGCCCCGGGCAGGGAGGGACCCCCGGTACGGAGGAGCAGCCCTCCAAGGAGGCGACAGAGGAGAGCAAAGAAGGCTGTGACAGCGACGAGAAGCAAAACGGGGAAGGTGTTAAAAGCAGAAAGGAGTTTACTGAAGCTCCCCCGCCCAAGGTGAACCCGTGGACTAGGAAAATGAATGCGGTGACCGTGGTCAGCGTGAATGGACAAGCACACCACGGTTTGTACCCTCCCTACATGTTGATTTTACTGGCTGTCAGTGTTGTGTCGGTGTCTGCCCGTCCAGGTGTGGTCACACAAGATGACCGAGCAGCTGTCACGAGGGGGTCAGATAGCATTTTACTGAAACCAAAAGAGACAAGTGAATCCATAAACAAGCCTAGTCTGCTCGCCCTCTTGTTGCTCCCTGCAAGCTGGATATATTTGGAGTAAATACCCCCTCCTCCTCCTCCTAGTGAAGTGAAAGCTATTCCTGGAGTTGTGGACCCATGGGTGGCTGCTTGCACAAGGGATCACAGCCTTAAAAAAAGCTAAAATACTCAGACTTTTCTCTGGTTCCTTATCAAATGCCAGGGTAGTGTTGCTCCCCTTTAATCACATGCTAAGCAATCATGACTTCACTTTAAGTCTATTAAAATCAAACTCTCTGCTTCTTATAGATCAAAAAATTTGAATAATTTAAGGTGTAATTAAATTCTGCTTGTTGTGCATGTTTGTGGACGTGTTGTGTGGTCGTGCAATGGTTGTAAAGTTGCTGTGCCAAACTATTCAGCTTCAGTGCATCAAATCTTGGTGTGTTTTTGTGGCATATTTTGCAGAGAAAGAGAGAGAGTTAATTTTAGCAGTGTCACCGTGCATGTTTGCTGCAGTGACTTCCAACTCCAAGACAGTAGTCAGGAGTAGCTCAGATGTTGAGCCTGCTTCATCACCATGTTGTCCCTGCCCTGTGTGCCTCATCTGCTGCCACCCAGCCAGTCAAACCCTTAGCTGACACACACTCTGTGTTTGCCAAATATCTAAACCGGTGCTTACTACTGATTACACGTTTGTTTTGAGGCAGATTTTCGACACACGACCACGCCGCACATTAATGAGGCACCCGCCCATGTCTCGCATTGCATCAATTAGAAGAAAAGAGCTCGGCCGGTTTGCATTAGCCAGCTAACAATAGCACACTGACTCTTCTTTGGCCTAGCGCGTCGTCAAGCCCTTCCCACTCAGATGTTAGCTTAGCTTCCAGATTGCTACTGTGCATTTCCAGCCGCCTTCTGTGAGACATGTCGGCTTTTAAACGTGTTTAAAGATCGATTCCCAACACCGGAACACAGCCCAAGACGACACATCTGCTCGTTTAATCTCTTAAAAGGAGCAGGCTTGTTATGAGGCGTCACGTGTTCACTCCACGTGTTCCCCGAGAGAAAGGCATGGGCGCTGCTAGCTAGCTAACATGCTACCTAGCTAGCATACTGCGCCGGATCCGTGCAAACTCGAAGTCTAGATGTGATGTGTGAGGCAGGGTGGTTGTTTCATGGCAAACAAGCCGGTTGTCATGTCGTGTATCTGTTGTCAGCTCGAACCCGGGTCCTCCCTGCTTGTCCACCTAGCTAGTGATCATTAGCATGCAAGCTAACAGGCAGGCTGCTGAGAGTCATCATGGCTTCTGCTCGATCTCAGGTCCGAGCTTAAAATTACATCAGATTATGTTGTATCATAAAAACACACGTTGATTTTCTCTTAAATCAAAGTTAATCGATCCTATGGAGTGATTATTGGTGATGCACACTGGGACAGCTCCCTTTCTATATTCTGTTGCAAGGCAACGTGGTTTTTTGCCCCCACAACCATGTGTATACTTTTTCCTGGACAGTGTCGGCTTTGCAGTTGCACCGTCAGGTCATCATGACTCCGGCTGTGGCCTGTCAGCGATTTCTTTTGCCTTTTTTGTTTGCCAGGTGGTTTTGTTTGCAGTGTATAACTAATGTAGACTTAGGTTCAGGGTACATCCTGTACTCTGAATCTGGACCAGTCTGGGTGGGTGGGTTGGATGGATGTGCTCCAAAAGCTGTCACATCAGCAAGTAAACCTGGTCGCGAGCCAGAAGTTGAGAGAACCATGCAGTGTCATGCCCCTATTTTATGTTGCATTCAAAGAAAGAATGCTTGGATGCTAATTATCAGATGGGTTTTGAGTTATCGAGCAGTGGTTTCAAACTATTTTTTGGTTGTTTTGATCCTGTGACAGAAACCAACGGTCTTCTTGGGAGTTGACAACACAGGTTGTGTGTCTATGACTTGATAGCTGAATTTGAGTTATTTGTAGTAACCCGAAGAAGCAAAGCTATACAACATTTCACAAGTAAAATAAAAAGCAGTGACGTGTCCGTATCATGACACGTGACACTTAATTCAGTGTAACTTAAAATGTAGCAAAAGTTCTCATCCTATAACATTTAACAAGGTTTCACTCTGGTCCAAATGATTGTCCACTCACCAAAAGAATAAGAAGTTGAGTCTTTTTCACAGGTAGAACACTCTTTAATCAGTTTGTGTACTTTGCGTGTCCTTGAACAAGACCCTGGACTCCCGTCCTGGATAAGAGCACCAGCTGAATGGCTCTAAACATATTTCCACGGCCCAAGCAGGGAGCTTGTTTTAGGATCACAGTAGGAGTGATCCTAAATGGATTTGGATCCTGAATAAGCAGCCCATTTTCCCTACCGCTTCAGATGTGCTACTACTGATTGGGTTTACTGTTAATTGCTTGGGAAATAATCATTTTAGCTCAGGGGATAGAGTTGCAGGCACATCGCCAGCTTGCTTGTCTTTGTCACTCAAATGTTGGCTTTATATTCTTGAGCTGAACTTTCACCTTTTTTAAACTTTATTTTTCTCCAAAGAGAAATTTGCCTTGTGATACCTGGAGAAAAGTCACAGACTTAAACATGAAACAGAATAAATAAAATACATAAAACATGCTGTATTCATATGTATTTAAGACACAGGCTAAAACCTGCCTCATAAATTAAACAAAAACCTGTACTACATCCAGCCATCACCGTCCAAACCAGTCACCCATGGTTAAAACAACATTACCATCACCGCCAACTACTTGTTCTATGAGTATAAAAGGTCAGGTTTAACAGGGTGAAAAATTATATTTATTTGTCTTGCCATCAAAAAAATGATCAGTCTTCCAAACTGTCCATGTGGAGGTCAGAGAGGATATTATCAGAAATAATTTAATCCTTTGAAAATAAAGACAAATCAATGATTAAATTAAAAACAATCCCATATAGACTATTAAACACCATGTGCGGTACCCTGATCTTATCACCCGTCAAAATAGTTTTGTTTCAGTTTTGGAGAGGTGACTCAGTGTTTGACTTCTGGTGATATTAGTAGTAAACATGCCGCTGTCTCGTCTCTTGGGCGTGTGTCTGCATTCTTTATATTGTCACCAAAAACCACTATTGGCAGTGTGGCATGCAACAACAATTTTCCCCAGGCTAGTCTGTTGCGAGTGCTGGCCATAGACTTAAAGGTGTCGTGTGGTGTTTTGGTTACATCCAGGGTCACTCACCAACATTTCTAGTTTGTCTCCTTGAAGCCTGACAGACAGGTTGAAGTTTATTTACTTTATTTTCCTCCTCCATTTAAAAAAACAACAACAAAAAACAATCTACAAAGTCAATTTTGTGAAGACATTTAAAATGAAATTTGAACGTCCATGTTTGCTTCTTCCTCTACACAGCTTTAACTGGTGCCTTACTTGTGTTGCCAACACCAACTGTAGAGCAGCAGAATAGAGTGAAACAGGCAGCAGGAATGTGCATGAGTTGCCCAAGTGATTTTGCACAATACAATCAAAATTTGGACCCGCTTGTAAATAGCATAGGGCTACTTTTGGGCAAAAACTACAGAGTTGAGTTTCCTTAAAGTTGCGATCCCACTGGATTTCACTGTCTATTCATTTCTGTTAGGACACGGTGAAACATGTTATCTTGGGTTGTGAATTAAGAGACGTGCCTCAGTACTGTTGAGCTTCAACAAGCAGAATTACAAGACTCTAGAATATTGATTATTTATATCCTTGTTTATATCATGCATGGCAGAATGATGCAAGAGAAGGAGGGATGGTGCTTAGCTGCAGCAACAGAGATTAAAGCTACAGTTGGTAACTTTCATAAAAATAACATGATGTCATATTTGGTGAAAATGTCACTAAATCCACACAGTAGTACATGAGACATTTAGTCTGTGGGAAAAAAATCTTGCTCCTCTTCCTGCTTGTAGTAGCTCTGACAGCATTTACCAGAATCTACTGCTGCTGTTCAGAAACAACCAGTTAGAGCTAAGGAGTCTCTAACTTGTCTGTCAATCACTGATTAAATATAACTCAAGATTCTGTTTCTGCATTGCCCATCTCTCGCTTCGTAAGTTTTCGGGAACATGTTTTAGTGTACTGTTGAGTTGTAAAGTGAGAGGTATTCATTTTACAGCTCAACAGTATAGTAAAATGTGTTTCTGAGATCATTTGAAGCGAGAAAAAGGCCATGCAGAAACAGAATCCTGATTTATATTTGATCAGCGTTGCCTAGTTTATCACTTAAAATTTAACGAGATGTGATGGACATAAATGACAGCTGCGTTCAAGACGCCTCAGCTCTTAGTGGTTGTTTTCGTTCATGTGCAGTAATGCCTTTAGAAGTACTGAGAGGAGGCCACAGAATATGATGTTTTTCACAATTTATGTCTGGTACAACTCTTGGGATATGGTGACAGTTTCAGCAAAAATGACTTAAAGTTACCAGCTACAGCTTTAAGGTCAGTGAAGTGGTTTATAAGAAGCTTGATGGATTGCTGTTGTTAGCCTTGCCTCCCTGGCTTGCTGCCACACTGTACACTTACAACCCTCCCCACACTACTTCCTGCCCTGCCTGCCTTTTACTAGATCACCTGACTTAATTCCAGCAGGTAAACTGTGGTCCCACTGCACTGTAACTGGGGCAGCTTGAGCTGAAGAGTTGAAGCTGGTCTGACCTTTACAATTCTGGCATTTAGCTGAATGACTTCTCAGTTTGTAGGTCATGTTACGCAGTTTGTGCAGCCATGAAGATCATCCACAATATGTTGATTTGTATGTTTTTCTTCAACGTTGGGATCGGTTGCAGAGATGTAGAGCAGCTGAACAAAAACAGAGTCAGTTAGGCGATCGCGCAAA